AAAAGGTCACAGCCATATAAGCTGGGAGATCAGACTCCTTCCTGTGTTGACAAGCACACTGATGCAATGGTGAAAGTCTCAGCAACAATTTTCCTGGTTACTATTGTATGTTTCAGCGCTGCAGGTTTAAAAAAGCCAATTCTGCCTAAGAATGTCCCTGATGCAGTAAAAATAATTTTATTAAGTCTCAACCACCGAGTGCATATTGTGTGATGACACAAAGTATGCATGAAGGATTTCTGGCTGCATACCCACGTACACAGGTTGTCTCCAGGAAAAGCCTTGTCTGGTTGTGTTACAATGTAACTAGCTGTTTTTTTTCTGGAAACACTGTTTTTACTTGAAAGCATGACTAGTTACTAAGACCTGGGTGTTTGGCAGAAACGATTTTGTAGAATTTCACCGAGTAGCCAGCCTGTTGCTGCAAGGGGAACAACGGACGGTATTTGTGTCTAATGATAACATTTGAATTTTTTTAAGATTTTATTTTACTTATTTGTCAGAGAGGGAGAGAGCACAAGCAGGGGCAGGGAGCCCGATGCGGGACTCGATCCCAGGACCCTGAGATCATGACCTGAGCCGAAGGCAGATGCTTAACTGACTGAGCCACCCAGGCACCAAAGCATGTGCACTTTCAAGCAAAAATTACAATTTCCAAACTTGTATCCACCACCATGCACTTGACAGTTTCCAGCTCTGAACTTTTATGAGATTGTTAATGACATTAAGGTGATTTTTTTATAATGTTTCAACACTTGGAAGATGTGCAGAACTCAGTTAAACAATATTTTCCAAATAGTTAATGCAGGATGTTACACAATCATGCATGGATTAGAGGCCCATTTGGTGGGCAAGACAAACAGATTTAATAACTGGGTATAAGAACTCCATCGATATAGCCCGATTCAACACTGCAACTAACTGAGAAGAGACTACCAATGTAGTTTTGGTGTTGTATCAAATGCCCACAATTAATTGCAAAGGCTATTAAAATATCCACCCCTTTCTCAATTACTTATCTGTATGAGACCAGATTTTCTTTACATACTTCAACCAAAACATTTATTTAAACCTTCTTTCTCTTTGAAATGTTTTATAGTTTTCAGTGTAGAGTTCTTTTTCAATTTTACTTTTTCAATTCGAATATAGTTAACCTACAGTATTGTGTTAGTTTTGGGTGTACAATACAGTGATCAACAGTTCTATACATTTCTCAGTGCTCATCATGATAAGTGTGCTCTTTTTTTTTTTTTAAGATTTTTTTAAATTTATTTATTTGAGAGAGAGAGTGAGAGAGAAAGAGCACAAGAGTGGGGAGTGGGAGAGGGAGAAGCAGACTCCCTGCCGAGCAGGGAGCCCGATGCGGGACTCGATCCTGCGACTCCAGGATCATGACCTGAGCCGAAGGCAGTCGCTTAACCAACTGAGCCACCCAGGCGCCCCGATAAATGTGCTCTTAATCTCCTTCATCTACCTCACCGGTCCACCACTCACCTCTCCTCTGGCGACCACCAGTTTGTTCTCTGTATTTAACAGTCTGTTAAATACTGTTTCTAACAGTCTTCCATCCATGTTGTTGCAAGTGGCAAGATTCCATATTTTATGGCTGAGTTATATTTCATCGTATATACATCACCTCTTCTTTATCCATTCATCAGTCAGTGGACACGTGGGTTGCTTCCATAGTTTGGCTATTGTAAATAATGTTGCAATAAACATAGCGGTGCATGTATCCTTTTGAATTAGTATTTTCATTTTCTTTGGGTAATTACTAGATCATATGGTAGTTCTTTTTTTAATTGAGGAACCTCTGTAATATTTTCATAGTGGCTGCACTAATTTGCATTCGTACCAACATGTAAGAGGGCTCCCCTCTCTCCACATCCTCACCAACACCTGTTGTTTCCTGTGTTTTTTTATTTTAGCTATTCTGACAGGTGTGAGGTGATACCTCATTGTGGTTTTGATTTGCATTTCCTTGAGTGATGATGGTCTTTTCATGTGTCTGTTGGCCAGTTGCCCAGCTGTTATGTTTTCTTTGAAAAATGTTATTCAGGTCCTCTGCCATTTTTGGATTATTTTTGTTTTGTTTTGTTTTGGGTGTTGAATTATATAAGTTCTTTATATATTTTGGATACTAATCCATTATCAGTTGCAAATATCTTCTCCCATTCAGCAGGCCGCCTTTTTGTTTTGTGGTAGTTTCCTTCACTGTGCTAAAGCTTTTTATTTTGGTGTAGTCCTAATCGTTTAATTTTGCTTTTGTTTCCCTTGCTTGAGGAGACATACTGAGAAAAACGTTTCTATGGCCATTGTCAAAGAAATTACTGCCTTTGTTTTCTTCTGTGAGTTTTGTTTTCAGGTCTCACATTTAGGTCTTTAATCCATTTTGAGTTTATTTTTGTGTATGCTCTAAGAAAGTGGTCCAGTTTCATTCTTTTGCATGTAGCTGTCCAGTTTTCCCAACACCATTTTTAAAAAAAGATTTTATTTATTTGAGAGAGAGCATGAGCAGGGGGAGGGACAGAGGGAGAAGCAGACTCCCCACTGAGCACAGAGCACGATGTGGGGCTCGATCCCCTGGTTAAGGCAGACTTTTAACCAACTGCACCATCCAGGTGTCCCCTCCCCCCAACACCGTTGTTTGAAGAGACTTTTCCCCATTGTATATTCTTGCCTCCTCTGTTGTAGATAACGTAAGCATGGGCTCCACTTCTGGGTTCTCTATACTGGCCCATTGATTTGTGTCTATTTTTGTGCCAGTACCATATTGTTTTGATGACTACAGCTTCGTAGTATACCTTGAAATTTGGGATTGTGATACTTTCAGCTTTGTTCTTTTTTTTCAAGATTGCTTTGGCGACTTGAAGTCTTTTCTGGTTCCATACAAATTTTAGTATTATTTGTTCTAGTTCTGTGAAAAATGCTGTTAGTATTTTGATAGGGACTGCATTAAATCTATAGGTTGTTTTGGGTAGTACGGACATTTTAACAGTATATGTTGTTCTGATCCACATGCATGGGATATGTTTCCATTTGCTTGTGCCCTCTTCAATTTCTTTCATCACCGTTTGATAGTTTTCAGAGTAAAGAGCTTTCCTCTCCTTGATTAGGTTTATTCCTTGGTACTTTATTATTTTTGGTGTAACTATAAATGGGATTATTTTCATAATTTCTCTTTTTGCTACTTCAATAGTGTAAAAGAAATGCAACAGATTTCTGCGCATTAATTTTGTATCCTGCAACTTTACTGAATTCATTCATCACTTCTAATAGTTTCTGGTGGAGTCTTTAGGGTTTTCTCTATGTAGTATCATGTCATCTGCAAATAGATTTTCTCAACCAAAATGTTTAAACCTTCTTTCTCTCTGAAATGTTATAGTTTTCAGTGTAGAGGTTTTGAACATCTTTTAAGGTATACTCCTAGGGGGGCGCCTGGGTGGCTCAGTTGGTTAAGCTTCTGCCTTCGGCTCAGGTCATGATCCTGGGGTCCTGGGATCGAGCCCCGCATCGGGCTCCCTGCTCAGCGGGAAGCCTGCTTCTCCCTTTCCCACTCCCCCTACTTGTGTTCCTGCTCTCGCTGTGTCTCTCTCTGTCAAATAAATAAATAAATAAAATCTTAAAAAAAAAAAAAAAGGTATACTCCTAGGTATTTCATGGTTTTGGTGTTACTGTCAATAGACTTTTTAAAGTTTAATTTCCAATTGCTTGCCATTACTATTTAAGTATATAAGCACCTAAAAGGGTCTTCAGGCCAAAAAAGTTAAGAACCAGTGAACTATTGTAATAGTTTAGGATGCACGTAATTTTGGTGAGATATGCAGAGCAAAATTTCAGCTTATTCTTGGGTCAGTGTTAAAATGATGTCCACATGTTTTTAAAGTACTAGAACTTTTTCTTTTTCAAGCCCTAAGTACAAAAAACTTCCCCAAATATATACAAAGTAGAACAATGAACCTTCACGTACCCAGTGTCAACATCAACTCACACTCAATCTTGTGTGAGCTTTGTTCTGTCCACTCTACCACTCCTGTGTCATTTTGAAGCAAATTCCAGGCATGATAGAACTCTGTAACAATTTCCTTACAATCTCTAAACGGGAACTTCATGTGCTCACGTCAGTGCCTTTGAACAAGACAAGCAAACTGCATCCATCACCATCGTGTGGGACTGTTGCCCTCCTCTAGATTCTATATGGTAGGTTTACCCCGAGAAGCAGTCATAGTCTGTCCAACAATTCCCAAGACTAAACGAATGGTCGATCCTTAGTTCATCTTAAGAGATTCACTTAATGTTTTCCAGCAAATATTAACTCAATATGCAGTCTCTGAAATGCTAGTCCAAGCAGGGGATGGCATGGTTTCACCTCTCCCGCAGACTCAGAGCAACTCGGGCAGCTTCTCAGAGCAGCTGTTCAAAAGGGTGGCCGGGGCCATCTGGGCTCAGAGCCCGATTACTGATGCCTGTTGTGGGCATGGGATTAGGTAGCAGTGCTTCTGTTCTCAGCCTCCAGTAATTTCTGTGACACTTCCAAAGCCTAACGCCCCTTCACTTTGGTCTGCTAAGTTTTACAATATTGTGTGTAAAGAAACCAGTGTTTTAAATAACATATATAGGCATGCCAGAAAGATTATTTTGTTGGCATTTACTAACAATAATTTATAGTTTTAAAAGGCTTACATTCATAAATGTCTGCTGGCCCAACGTTTAGTAAATTATGGTTGTTGTCTTTTATGAAAATAAGCATGCAGGGACAATACTATTAGCTGAGAGCAACTGATAACCCCCAAGAGAGCTCCAGGGAGATGAAACATCCATAAGACTAGAGTATATATACTAACAAAAGTGGCCAGAAATTACATGGGCAGGATCAGAGGAGCAAAGAAAAATCTTACAAGCAAAATAAAAGGCAATACTCCACTTGTCCCTCCCTTCTTGTCCCCTGTGTGGACACCCCCCACTCCTCACACCCTGGAAAGAAAGCACACCCCAGGCACGGATCGAGTGTGAGAATTTTTTATTCAATTTGTAAAGTACAGTTTAAAAACAAGATGTTAGTAACACTCTTAGAACATTGGCTTGTTCATTTGACATTTTCTCTGTCTTCACCAATTTTTATTACAAAAATCAGAAAAGTAAAAATTCATTACAATATTTGCACAGTGTGACCACTAGCTGCTTAAACAAAAGCTAATTTCTATAAAACCATAAACTTAGTGCAGTTTTATTAAGAGAGATCCAAAATTCTCTCAGTGGACTGGATATACATAGTGGTATATATTTTAAAGCAGAAAACCCCCAAAAACAAAAACAAGGAAAAAAGAAAATATAAGTCAAAATCGTCAGTTAAATATTCTGACCTGACAGTTCCTACAAATAGTAATTTCCACTACATATAAAGGAAACCGTTATCTGTGGTAAAAACTGTAGAGACAAAGCAAGAAATGTGGAATAAAATCACAATGGGTCAGAAGTCAGTCCCAGGCTGCAGGTGTTTTCAGTGAAACCCGGGGCAGGGAGCTACATCGTTGAAGAAGGGGCCACCTCCATCCCCAAATCACCATGTGTGCCTGTAAGCGAGACCCCACCACATGGCAAGTTGCAAAGTTTCAATGAAAAGACTTTGAAAAAGACAAATGTTCTTTTCTTCAAGAAATCTTTGTAAGGCTGTACTTTGCATAGGGAAAGAGCGGTCTGCGGTCATAAATTCTAAAGGAAAGAGGAAAAGCAAGCTTTTCAAAATGACTATGTGCAAGGAGTTGAGTCACCAGGCACCTCATCTACTGCCTCTCATTTATCCTGATCTGATGTAATTTCACTTGACAAGAGGAAAGATGGCATTTTGTGGTGACGGTGTTTAAAGGAAAACATCGAGGCTGGCAGCAGAAAAATTAAATTCTGAAAGAGGCTTGCCACCCCACGGAAGAAACACCTGGGCGCTCAATCAGTCCTACTCGTGCATACAGTAGGACTCACGAGGAACTTTTCAAATAAAAGCTTACTTTTTCAGAAAGCTGAAGTATAAAAAAATAGCACAAGCCGTGGCATTCCCTCCAATGGCTGCTACGTGAGTATTGTGAGCTGGCTGCCAGGAGGGATGGGTGCGTCCAGATACCGTCAGGCCGCTGGTCTCTACGAGCCGTGGTAGAGGTGCATGGCGCCCAGGGCAGCCCCACCGTGTCTCTCTCCCCCCTTCGCGGAGTTGGGGTGCTCCACCGCGCTATTAAGCTCGGGGATGCTTTCAGCGGTGTCCCCAAACCCATGGTAATGCCCATAGTGCAGATTCTCCTCAATGTCCTCCACCCAGGAAGGTCTATTAGCTACGCAGCTACTCGGACTCCCATTCAGGTGCAGAGAGCCGCACATCTCCGCATTAACGCTCATGGTCTTTTCTGGGTCCTCAGTCCCATTAACACAAACAGAGCCCTGGCTACTTGGAAAAGGCCGTCCTCGAACTAATCCATTGCTAATTCCATTAGATCCTGATAAGCACTGGTCATTCCTGCTCTCCATCCCATTGAGCTGTGTCGTGGAGGGGAAGTCCAAATGTCCATTGATGACACATCCATTTGTCAGTGTATCCAACACGGGGCTACTGTTTTTCATATCTGCATTAAGAAATACACCTGTCACCAAAATTCAGAACCACAGGGGGAGGAGAAACTAAAAATGTTTCATTGCTGCTACAATTTTAAAGGATTTATTTAGCTGCTTTTTTTTTTTCCTTTTAAACAAACCAGTTCCTTTTCTGGAAGTAAAAAACTGTGCATAGGCAGATTTAAAAATAGAACCCACAGCAGCATTTGCCCGGTAAGACAGGAAACATCTATGACTTTCAGCAGCACCGAGTGGCTGAGCGTAAACACCTAAGCTCACAAACACGCGGCATAAAAAATACCAACAGTCCCGAAAAGCTGTCAAAAAAACCCAAAAATCAAAAAACTGCTCTCCTTTTAAGACTATTTTCAGGAAGGAGTTTCAAAAATCACCCGTGAAAAAGTCCAGCAGAACAAAGCGTGAGGTTTTCCACAGAGTTAAAGTAAAACCCCACACCTCTCCAGCTCTTAAGGAAAGGGAGAAAAAAAGGTGGCCGCCGAAGCAGGGGCCTGGGGAGACTCCTGGGACCAGGCGAGACAGCCCCAGGAGAGCTCCGGGGGGGTGGGAGGGCGGCGGCCCGCCCTCGGGCCAGGCGTAGGGACACAGGAGTTCAAACCTTAGCGACACTCGCATCCACGTGGCACTTCCGCGACTCGGCCTGCGGCAGTGGCCGGCGGGAGAATGGGCACTAAGCGCAACAGCATGAGCTCTGGGAGGGTCTTCCGAGTTCACCAGTAAAGTGACTACGATGTCCGAGGCTTCACCTAATTAGGCTACTTTAAAAAATCACTTAGGTTGGAAAAATGTTGCTTGCTTAATCTGCATATGTAGACATCCATCAAGAGGAGGATGTCTTATGGGGGGAAAAAAGAGTCAATCACAACACGCTCGGGCCCACGGGGAAACTCGGGATTCAACATTCACGTTCACAGGAATTCACAAAACAGTACAAAGGATGATCGCAAATCATGTCTTGCTTGGTAATGTGAAATTTTATCTCAATGTTCTGCACTGTTAAAGCAAGGTATGATATTAAATACACAAGAGCGGAGTCCCACGACCGTTGGAACGAGGACATGTTTCCGGACCCCCAGTCACCCTGACACAGTGTGGCCCTCCCCCGGAAGGGCTTACTTTCCGCGTCACCATCTATGTGCCTCTGATTTGCACTTGGACATAGGTTTCTGTGTGTCCCGCAAATCTTCCTGCCAACAAAAAATCACGGCTTGTTCAATGAACAAAAACATCTTCTACACATGCCATTAATCATCCATTTTTCTGGCAATTTAAGTGATAATCATAGTTTAATAACTACTATAAATTCTTCAGAGGATAAGGGATTATTTTTTTCAAATTAAAGGACAGCTCTTCTATTTAGTTAAAACTCAAGACTAGAGAACAAGTATTTCAAGAACTGAACATGAAGTAGAATAGAAATAAAATAAGCTATTCCCAGAGAAACACTCTTACAAATTAAAAAAAAAAAAATAAAGTATACACAGTGTTCCCTGGGTGGTAAAATTCATGACTATGATGGCGACCTTGACAGTTATTAAGATGATTAACTGTGTACTAGTAACAGATACAGAAACGACATTCCCAGAGGCCTGGACCTGAAAAGGTCTGGGAGCACCACCTCAGAAACCAGCGTTGCCTAGACTCACTGTTTTCATTTCGCGTTTTCCGTGTGTACGCGCGTGTGTGCGTGGTTTAGTGCCCGGGGGTGTCAATGAGTGCCATTATGCAATCTCAAAGTCAAGGCTAGTTGATAACCTCACGTCGTTATGGAAAATCTAATAAAACTGAGCATGAGAATGGCAGGTATCCTAGAGACTGGCTAATTCGTGACCCCACCTGGCCGCCTCCAACACTGTCCTCACTCCTTGCTCCCACACCCTTCAGGGCCTGTGCTCCCACCCACCACCTGCCCACCTGCTGCACGGGCCCCAGGAGTTTAGCACATTTTGTGCATGCGGGAGGACGTATGTTGTACGTGAAGTGACGGGAAGCATGGCACCTGTTACACAGGATGAGCTGAGCTCGAAATTAAGCAACGCCCCAGCTCACTATTAAATTTGGCCTGAGAATGCAGGGAATTAATGCTCGAAGATTAAAGAGTGATTCCTTCTGCCTTTTTAAAAGTAGGTAGCAATGTCGTTTGTTTTTTAAAGGTTTGAGTTTTGTTATTTGTCTTTAGCCAAGGTCCTTAAGTAAATTATCCAATCAGAATTTTCCTTAGAAAATCAACCCATTTAATTATTTGGCAAGAAGGCGACTCCACCTGTAACAACCGTGTAGCTTCTAGAAAGATGTACACATTTGCCTTTCACTTTAGTAAATAGAAATGATTTTCTCACGTATGTCTGGGAAGCATATCGCATAATCTCTTACCCCAGTGAAGAATTTAGCATAGAGACATAATAAAACCTTAAAAAAACCAGTATCTCTTCCTACATATATTAACACAGTAAGAAAATGGCTAAGATGTTTTCACGGTCACCTGAAGAAAAGAATGGCAGAGAAAAGTGTTAACTCAAAGGAAAAGTCTTCAGAGACTCTAAACGCTGAAAGAACAAACTTTGACTTTTAAAAACTGAAAATGACTATCAACTGTTTGAAATATTAACACTTTTAACATGTAAAACGTGTTTTGTGAGACGTGGTGCTCAGGGTTTGGCCAGACTTGGAGTCCATGTCCCAGAAACCACAGCGACCAGCAGCAGCGAGCGGGGGGCTCCACGCTGGTGAGACCGGTTACAAGTCAAAAGCACGGCATCCACCCGTCCTCCGTGTCCACAGCAAGTCATCCTTCCCGCTGTGCCCCAGGCCGAAACTACTAGCAACAGATGTTTGCTTGGTGTAGTCACCCAAAGATCACATGTCAGAAAAGCAAGCATGCGAAACCTCGTTGAAATTAAACAAGGCACGTTAAGCGGAAGCTTCAAACCAAAACAGAAGATTGCGCTTAAACTTTTCGTATCTATAGAATGCCCCCCAAACACTTATCCTTGTATCTACAAACTTGCCCAAGATACGCAAACTCTAGTGTAACATTCTTTAAAACGCCGGACAACAAAGTGCAAACATCGGGAGAGAAACTCAGGTTAGAAATAATATGCATACTGGTTCTTGCAACGACAAGGGGTCTGCATTGCTGAAACAGTGTATATTTCTATTTCTTTTGGTCCGACAGAACCACCCTCCTGCTGTTTGATGTCTTCGACCAGGGGGCCGCTGCAGCTAACGGGGAACTGTCCACTCCCACCTGTTACAGCAGCAAGCTCTCTATCGACCAGCATCGTGTCAGCTTCGTCATCCGCGTCGCCGTTCCCCAGCGGCCTGCAGGGACCCGGGCTCCGGGCTGCACAGAACACAAAGGCAATTTCAGATCCCTGCATCCACAAGCTCTTAAGACAACTACCTCTCACTCCTTTTTCCTCAAGAGTACTGAGGCCTCCAAAACTGTCACAACAACTTAATGATCTACAGATTACCAAGGAGCCTAGTACACTACCGGGAAACGTACTTTTCCACAGTATAAAAATACTTCCCGATGTGTGCCGTTTCAGTGAAAAGTCACAGGATTTCGGACATTTACTCTGTATGTACTCGATGGCACAAATTCTCCTTTATGGCTGTTACGTGGACAAAATAAAGCAGTTACACAACCCAGAGATGTTTTTAAATACGTTAAGTTCAGTGTACTCTGTATTATGCCCTCAAATGTTCCTTCAGTTGTTTTTGATAAAGAAATACGAAGACAATCTTTGAGTAACATAAAAACCATTAAAACTATCCTCAAATTAAAGAAAAAAATCACTAATTTCAGAAGCAGAAAATAAGGTAAAAGCCAAGATTCAATACTGTCCTGGGGGCACAGGCCCACGCACCAAGATATGATAACACTGGAAACAAACATTAAAGTCTTAGTTCCAGGATCTCTGGAGCTGAAGTTATATATGCACATTCCTCAAAAAAGGATCATTCTCTGGATCTTGGAGAAAAACAAACATGCACATTTAATCACGTTTCCTGCAAGAATCACGCTCACCGTATGGAAACACTCCTCCGGTGCACCTTCCCTGGGAACCCCCGCCTTCTCCCAGCAGCCATTCACTCAACACATGGCTTTCTAGTCTCAGCAAGCATGTGCTATTACAGAAACGGACCCCCAAATCACTTTTATGCCTTGCTTTTCTTCATTTACCATGGCATGAATGCAGCTCATCAGCGAAGTTCAAAAGAACCTTTTTAAAGTCAAATAATACTCCGCTGTAGGGCTGCATTGTAACTCACCCCCTGCCCCAACTCCCCGCCGTTGGCTGGCTGGCTGGCTTTCCTATCACGAATACCACAATCAACATCCTTATCAACACACCTTTGTGTGTATTTCTGGTTCTTTACTCAGATAAACACTGAGAATTAATTCTGGGTCGAAGGATATATACAATGAACAACAACTTTCGGTGCTAATAAACATTTAAAAACAGACATGAACCCTGCAGCTTTAATTACTTCTAATTTTGGAGGCACGAATCATTTTTGATACATGTAAAAGGAATGAGCGTACCAGTTCCAGACCATCACTAAGCCTAACCCACACTGTTGAGACCAAAGATAATCATGTATGGTCTTCATGACAGAGAGGCAAAAGTTCTGAATGACTAGTACGTGGGAGAGACGGAAACAGAACAGTGTGATTTGTGTAGCTGGTCTGCACAGGTGTGAGGCCAAAAGCACTCAACAAGACAGAGGCACTAAGCCATGGATTTCCATCTCTCCCACTCGAGGCTTTTCTTATTCCTCCACAGGCCCCACATCAGCGACAGGCAAGGTGCGACCTTCCCCGTGAAACAGGTACTTTCAGCAAGTCCATGGCAAACAGGCTGCCGTAACGAGGGGGGTGGGGGGTGGGGCACCCAGGTGCCCGCTGAGCAAGTGCTCAGGACCTTCGGGGAGACCTCAGCCAGTCATTTTGGAGACGAGGAGCCTGCAGTCGGCGTGGGGTCAGGTTCTGCTCCTTCCCGTGCCCGGCAAGCCAGGCGGGGAATCAGGTGGTTGGCAGGGATGGGCGCCCGCTAGCACGGCAAAGCCAAGACGCCTCTGCGAACAGGGAGACTCCGCTGGGATACGACACGACTTTCGGTGTCTGTACTCCTAAGATCTGCTTTCCAGGATTCAGGGGCCAGTGTTCCTCAGGAAGGTGACAACTAGGCTAAATGTGCAATTTCACATCTCTGAAAAGCAACGGTTATAAAAAAAACCTGACAGAGGACAGATCAAAAAGTGCTTCCTGAGAGCAGAGCTACGTGTCTTCTCGTCCCCTAAGCCCAGGGCCCAGAAGAGTGGCCGTATCCGTGAATGAAGCCCACTCTCCAGTCTGAAAAGGCACAAACACAGAAAGCAAACAAGAACGATTAGTAACTGGAACGACCAGTAGTAAAATCGGGATCATGGCCTCCAGAGAAGGCTGGCTACAAAGTGCCGTAGGACTGGGCAGACCTGCCACCAGGAGGCAGAGGAGTCTGGGGACATCCCAGGTCACACTAAGAGGAGGAGCCGGGGCACAAGGCCACTTCACCGCGTCAATGTCTCCCTTAACGAGACCCACGCAGCGCACTAGGGGGCTACTGAGTCTGAAACCTTTCCAAGTCGCAGGTGCACCGTTAATGCTGAAGCTTCCTCATTTGCAGAACAGGATGAAAATTAAACAGACCAAAGGCTCTCTTATTTTAGTCGTCAAGAAACTCTTTAATGTGGGGAGCATAAGCTAAAGCCGTCAGCCCAGAATTTTCTTTCTCTACAGATAGGCAGTCTTTGTAATGCACTGTTGCCATAAAATATCTGCAAGGACCTTTAACTCATCGGCTGATAACCCAGCTGTCCCAGAACCTTGGGTAATTCTAGCACCTGTAAACAGGAAGCACTTAATTACCCAGATGGAGGTATTAAAGGTGCAATTTACTTTTTAAAACTGTATTTTATGAACCATGAGATTAACATTGGCCTTTCAGAATTGTAAGAACATTGGATCCAAGTTGACTCCTTTCTCCCACATACCCATCCATCTTTGCCAAAGGAAGCACTGGAAATATTCCACACTGCGTTGGAGAAAGGCAGTCTTATAGACAGAAAACGAAAGGTCTTCTTTCCAAGTTATCGATTCTGATTCATTTTACACTTTGGAGAAGGACCTTCCTTTCCCATCTTCCTGATGACTTCCATAGTTAAAAGGAACAATCACTAAACATTTTGTAAAAAAATGTCCTTACCTTTTACTTGGCCAAAGTAGGCATTTGTTGAGGAGACAAGATTCTAGCACTTGTTAGAGGCTGAATATTTATGATAGAAAACTGCCTAGGACTGGCTCAAAATAAACCCTCCTAGCTTCCTTCCTGCAGAGGCAACTTTGCAACCAAGTGTGACTGACCACCACCCAAACACAGAAATCTGCATTTGTACTTCCATTGGAGATCCCTAAAACTAGTTCTTAGCAAGATTCTAAAGCTACATATTTATTTTATGACCAAGCAGTTTGAAAACCTGGGGAGGGCATTACTCAGCTCTTGGAAGCCGGGGAGCATCTGACACATCACAGGAGGGCGCTGTCAGGAAGCTTATTTCTGTGCTGGCTCGGTACGGCCGGGAAGGTGTACAAGCAGAACAAAAACAAGTTATTTTTTACTTTTTTAAAGTGAACTCTATTGCCCAACGTGGGGCTTGAACTCATGACCCTGAGATCAAGAGTCAAGAGGCTCCGGCTGAGCCAGCCAGGCGCCCCCCGCCAAAGGACCTGGGCCAGAATGAAGGCGGTTCTACTTACAGGGGACCTTTCAGACTCTAGCTCCTGCCACGGCCCCAAAGGCAGCACCAAGTTCTGGAAACTCTACGGAGGGCCTGGGCCTTGTGAAAAGGACGTGGAAGGGAAGGTGCCCGGGACGGCGGACTCCCACCACAGCCACTAGACGGCTGAGGAGACGAGGCTCGAGGCAACGGTGCCAATCACAGAGAGCACTTGGCTCTCAAGTGTCACTCACTCAGAGCACGGTGACATGATGCCAAGTCCTCAGGGATTAAGACAAAATGATCATTTGTTACTCCAACGCAGTGTTCTCTTGCTCTGGCCAAATATTTAAAAACAAGCCATCACTGACTGCGTCGTGTGCGCATCTCTAACGTATGGGATCAAACTAAAAGGAACTACAATTTTAACTGGGGAGGCAAGGGATTTCCTGAGTCTCAGGCTCTAATTACTCAGATGTATCACTTCACGGAAATCACATCCACTCTCCCTTCCCCCCGGTCTTCACATGTGGTCAAGACGAGTAAGGAAGACCAGAAAGTGGAGATTCTTTAATGTGAAGTTCATCCAGGGGAAAAGCGTGCTGAGAAACTTCTCACTGCTAATTTTAAAAGGAGTCATAATGCCGTAGTTTTCCTAAAAGGTGTTTTTATGAATTAAATACCTATATGTTATGTATGAAATTCTCAGATCAATAATATACCCATTTGAATTAAAAACAAAACTGCGAAGTCAATTTAACAAGAGATCTGGTATCAACAGCCTCCTTCCTTTGGCAACTGTTTGCCATTACCAAACCCTAGGCTACTGGCTGAGTCTGTAACTCACACTGCTTCTCCCCACTCTGGACTCGGGATCTGCACCCCAAACAATTATTGATTAAAACAAGAGCAAAGTCTCTCTCACGGATGGGACGGGCATTCTTTCCTAACCAGTCTCCCTGGTAACCTGGACGGGTTTCCAAGGAACACACACACACACACACACACACACGGGTAACTACTGTTATTCCTGAGGGTTAACAGAACACGAACAGAACCGTTAAAGAGCAGCTGTTACTGAAAGACATCTGTCATCCACCTCGAGCCAACGGTTGATAAAAACTGGGGGAAAACACCTCAAAACCCACTTATATACTGGTGCTTCCTTGTGCTACCCCAAATGAAAAAACCCCGTTTTATGCCAAAATACTTTTAATCAAAATCAACCACTGAAGTGACTTTGGACTTAACACTCTAGTTCACGGCCCCATGGACTACGTCTGCGCTCTGACCAGAGCGGACGGGATCCTGGTGTGAATGGTGGGGCGAGGGTGTTTTGAGAAGGACTATATCCAAAGCACAGCGTACGGTCAAGCAGTAGGGGAAGGATGAGGTGTTATTAATCCTTCAAGTTCTTTTCCATCCGAGTTTCCAAGGGAAAATCACGCCAGTTAAAGTATCTGAAAATAGTTTATTGAGAGTGGAGACAGAGGCTACTTTCTGTGGAGAAGAGTAGGGAATTTTCAGTCTCAGGATTCCAAAGTAAAAAAAAAAAAGGAAAAAAGTTAAAAAATTTCACAAGGCACACTTTAAAAAAGTTGGCTTAGCCAGGAAAACTTTTTGAAATAACTGCTTTTATGAACATAAATTCCACACTAAAAACACGAGTGTGTGTGATTCTTAAGTTGTAGAAAGACTGGACTGAATTTCGTTAATAAGGTCCATGCTACGCACTCATCAGCCCGGGTAGCATTCCTGGCGCCTAAAAAAAAAAAAAAGGCCTAACTTGTACTGGGGGAAGAAAGAAGGGAGACAATTTTAAACTCTTTTAAATACGTTTACATGTGAAGTTATTCAAAAGTACTTTATATGCATATATTATATAAGGAAAAAAATACTTATTTTTACTCTAGTGTGAGAACCAAAAACTTATCCACAAAATGAATAATTCAGAACGAGCAAAACTTTAAGCTCCATTTAAATAGCAAATCAAAACGAGATGCCAGAGATTAAGTGAAAACGAACTACAGCAACCTATCCTGAATTGCACACTAGAACCCCATCCTAGAGGGGCAGTAACTGTGCAAACACAACTTCCTTCAGAAAACCCAGGTAACTGGGGAAAAATCATTACTTAGGCCCCAAGCCCCACTCACAGCGAGCATGTAACGATAAAATGAAAGCGATCACCTCCGCCTTCCCCCCGAGAAGAGCGGCACGGATGACGGCATTTGTCCGTGCTCACAGACACGCACGGACACACACACACGCGCGCTCAGTGACATGCGGGACCAGCACTGCCTGGGGGATGGGAGTGAGGACGGTCTGGCTCAGCGCATCCGGTGTCGAGGCCAGATTTCTCCCCTGGTGGTGACAGAACAAGACCAGGGCAGGTGTGTGGAGCAGAGCCCAGGCTTGGGGCTGCACGACTCAAACACCAGGCTCCAGCTGCATCTTCTTCTGACCTGGTGCCTGGGGTTAAGCAGCGGGAACGGGCAGTTCGGGAAAGCTGCTTGGGGAGTTTCATGGGCAAAACATGAAAATCTCACCTGGTCAACCCAAGTGAATCCTTGTCTGGAGGAGGGAAATAAAATCCCCTCAACATCTATCCACCCGCACGATTCTTCAAACCCAGTCTGTGTAGTAACAAGGTTTAGGAAACTTAAATTCAAGTCTGAGGAATCCTCGGGAAGTCTTTTCAGAATGCTTCAACAATGAGATACTGGCTGATCCAACAGGCCTGAACACCTTAGCAGACTGGTTTGAAAACCTCTTTTGGTAAATGTCTGAGTCTTGTTAGAATGTTCAGTGACATCCTTCTTACCCTACTAGATAGAATTTAAGATTTATGCTATAAACCAACACACGCGGACATGGACACATACAGGACTCTTGCCTGAGGGCATAATGAAGCTAACACTTCATATCATTCCAAAATATTAAACCAGGCATTAAGCGGACAAAAAAGACTATTTTTAAAAAGTGGATGCTCTTAAAGGGCTTTTAAAATACGTTAGAAAAAATATACTGGAACATGGTACAAATAAATGACAACACTGAACAATACGTCACCATTAAAAACACCACTTGTGAGGTTTAGACACAACTTCATGTTGTTTGTGCTTATGATCATTCTAGCACCTTCAGAGAATTAGGTAATTTATAAAAGTTACGAGTTTGGCAAACCATTACATTAAGTTCATACATTCATTTCCCCAAAAAAAGTCAAAAGTTTTTATAGTCACTAAGTATTTAAAAGTAGGTAATACAATTTTATCAACTTTCTAGTGAAAAAAAGAGCCCATTTTCATCTGGATGCCATCCAGTTAAACTGAAAAGGTGCAGCATTGGAGAGAGGATAATGTTGACCCACATGAAGTGTAGTTAGCTAAAACCTCCAGCCACTCAGGTTTTTCTCATACTTTACTTGTATAGCCTTTTTTTTTTTAATCGAAGGGCACAACTTTGTATTTATGCTCAGCTATCTCATCTGAGTTCATAATTTCAACGTGATTACTCTTCACCGCCATCTCTAAGTGTCCCTCTCCGTTTAAGTTCGTTAAATACTCTTGCCCAGCTATCAATCTGTCTTTAAGATATCTTATAGACAGGAATATACATATAGTTTCTTTTCCTAGATAAAGGGGAGGTGTTTTCATCTGACAGTGACTAGGTGACTCCGCTTCTTTGCGAACTCCGAAGTTGTCTGAAGATAGAGAGGTGGGAGAATACTTATAGCTAACTTACCTTTCAGACGTAGCCTCACGTTGCCCTGACACCCCAGGTCTCGCTGGGACACAGCACCACACTGCCGGTGCGGAGACCAGCCGAGGCAAACCTCTCCCTGCCCAGATGGGAAACTGTGTTTGGCTACCAGACCAGCAATGTCATTCATAAGCTCGGGAACATTCACAGGAAACAAACAAAAAAATCAGGCACGGTGGCAGAGTTTTTTTAATAGTTATATTTCAAACAGGTACAGGAAACGAGAAAATTCTTTCTAATGCGTGGCAGAAAACCCTGGGTGTGCAGAAAGTTATATACACGTTTCCATCTGAGCTGTCAATACTGCCCTCTTATCTGCCCCCCTTTTGTTAAAGGGCCAATCTTCCAAGGGGCCACACGGGGAAAGCACCACCACCACCGCACCAGGCTCCTCCGGGCACAGGGCCCTCAAGCGAAGGTCTCATCTCGAAGGTGCTTCCAGCCATAAGAAAGAGCACACGTTACAGAAAAGAGGAGAGTCTGCCCCCTCCCATCCACCAAGGGGTCTCACCTTCGGTCCTAGCCTTCTTCACTCCAAAGGGCTCCGGATCTTCCAAGCATCTCTTGCGACTGGTTCCCGCGCTAGTATGATTAAGGAATCGGCTCTGATGGCCCCCATTTACCGGGCCGTTATCATAGAAACGGCTCAGGTGACAATTCTGCAGGTTCAAGAGAAACTGGGTGCACTCTTGGAAACCCTGGGTTTGAGCAATGTCTGCTGCTGTCAGGCCACTGGCATTTCTCAGGCTGTGTGACACAAAAACACTGAATTACACCCCGCCGCGCGCTCACCTGCTCTCTGCTCCTGCTGACCTGACTGACTATCTCAAGGGGGCGGCAAGAGAATACAGATGTACGGCGAGTCTCCCTTACGGGGGAGCTCTCGTCCTGCTGCGTAACTAACTTCGTTCTTGCGCACATCTGATTACTAAGCAAGATTCGGGAGATAGGCATTTAAAAATCAACACACTAAAATTTAAAAAAGGCATCTTCCTATTGAACTTCTCAAAATCATTTTTTACGTCAGTCTGAAGAACCTAAATTTATGCTAACTTCAGACTTAACCTGAAACTGAATTCTATATTATCTGCATAATTGTAATAATCCATTCCTTTAGCTTGAGTAAAATCATAACAAACAAACATGTACTGAAATTGTCCACGGCATTTGTAACGATCGGCTTCCTCAAAAGAGCGCCCCGACAAGCCAGATGTGAGGCTAGCACGTGACACTGTAAGTGGAGGTCTAGAAGGATGTCCTGACATCAGAGGAACTTGCGGTCGGGGGGAGATCTGAGAAGCCAAGTTTGTGTGTGTGTTTGACGGGGCTTTCTGGCCTGCTTAGGAAAGCCTGCAGCGTAGGACACTGCATTCGAGAGCACCTGCATGGGGGTTTCCTGGGAGCCCATCCCCGGGGCAGAGGGAGTTCTATCACCCTAAGAGTCCACACCACAGCAGCTCGCGTGGCCGGCCACGCCAACAGATGAAGGTCGGGGTCGCCTACAGCAGCCAAGACACAGACTAAGTAGGAGGTACTGGCAGAATGTGACGTGAACCATCTCAATCACACGGATACAGAAGAACCACCTGTAAACCTCCACTAGGAAATAGTACTCAAGGAACAAAAGCAACTCCCTGAAGTTCCCCTGAAAGACAAGAAAAATATCCTCCCCGTGAAGTCAAGCTGCAAACCAGTGAAACAGACAGGCTGATGACTGAGAACGTGAGCACCAGACGGGGACCGGCTCTCGTGCCTGCTCTGCCGAGCGAGACCGCTGGCCATGCAGCACCACTGAATAATAACCAACGCAGAACGCGTGATGCTTGCTTCCAGGGCTAACGTTAACGCAAAAATCCACTTCAGAGTAACAACAAAACATCAGGGACAGACGGGGGTTCCTCTGTAAAGAGAACAGTAAGCCTTTCCAGCCCTCATACTCCTAAAGCTCCAACCTCAGAAATGAAAAACCTGTATATTTCTAGACAATCACTAAACAGGTCTCCACTCTTTAAAGTCTAAGATAAAGAAATGCATCCTATGTTTCGAAGAAAGGTGAAAGCCCACACTCAGTTTGGTCAGATACAAAACAGACAAAACTTGAGAATCCCAGAAACCAACAAGTTTCTTAAGAATGTAAGGCAGTTGTCTGCAGAACTAATGGGGACTCAACCTGCCATTTCGATTTCATGGCTATGAATTCTGATGAGTGTTCTTCTACAGTTGGGTATGAATTAAATGGAAAGGAAACGCCAGCGTTTGGGCAGCGTGAACTACCTTAATTACAGGTACATAAAATGATCATATACTTAGTTTCTGAAATCTACTATTGATAAGACAACAGTAAACTAAGTGTTTAGCTGGGTGAGTTTTTAAATTTTCAGGGACTGCCCCAAGTGCCGTCATCCAGAAAGGTCTACTCTATCAAGAATGTGAACAGAGGGGGTGCCTGGGTGGCTCAGTCGTTGGGCGTCTGCTTTCAGCTCAGGTCATGATCCCAGGGTCCTGGGATCGAGCCCCGCGTCGGGCTCCCTGCTCGGCCAGGAGCCTGCTTCTCCCTCTCCCACTCCCCCTGCTTGTGTTCCCTCTCTCGCTGTGTCTCTGTCAAATAAATTAAAAAAAAAAAATCTTAAAAAAAAAAATGTGAACAGAGTAATAGGTAGCCACATGGAAAAAAAAAACACATCTAATTCTTCAAAATTTGGAAAAATGAAGACCTAGCATATGCAAAGTTTATAAAACGATCACTTCTATACAGAAATATGGAGCTGCTCTCCAAAATCAGAGAACACAGAACTAAGCTGACGGTAAAGAGGACTCTTTAGATCAGAGAATGATGAAGAACAGCACACGCATTTTTAGATGGCATTCACCATCATAAACTTCACTGAGGAGAACAGAGAAGCTTAGGGAGCAGCCAACATTCTCAAGTCACGAAAGAGAGGAATTTCTGAAATATACTCAGTGCCTTCACTTTCCATTCAGAAACAGAACATCAGATTAGACTTAGGGTAGAATAGCAAGTTTACTGTTTTCCCAAGGAAATACAGCGTTAGAGAAAAATAAGCAACAAATTGGGGCTGACATCTGGAGATTCTGGAGACGGCCAGCGCTTGAGTGGGGGTGCGTGCTGAGACCTGAGACCAGAAGGCAAGGTCTCCCCACAACAACGCAGTCGAACACTCGCACCTCATGAGGTATTATCTTCAAAACCAAACAGAAGGACTGTGGCCAACTCATGCTCCCCACGTGTGGACCAAACAGGGAAGAAGGATCAGTCACAGTTCAGACTGAACGGATGCTGGTTCCACACATACCTTTGCAAGATGAGAAGTCAGAGGGATCCAAAAGGGAGATCAAAACATTCTAGAAGATGTAGGGGCAAAATCTGGGGCATAAGATGACTGTGGAAGAATTGGGAGCTAATAATTTTGGCACTGTCCCTACAGGATTATCAGAAATGGGGACACATGCTATCTTCTCTCTGCTCCCAGTAAGCTACAGATTTCAACGTGAGCAGACCCTTGAACAAGGAGGGGCTGGGGATACCAACCCTTGTGCAGTCGTAAGCCCACATGTAACTTCTGACTCCCCAAAACTTTACCGAGAGCCTACTGTTGTCCAGAAGAAGCTTTACCGATAACACAGAGTTGATTAACATGTATTTTGTACGTTATATGTATTATATACTGTATTCTTGCCATAAAGTAAGCCAGAGGAAAAAGTGTTATTAAGGAAATCATAAGGAAAATATATTTACAGTATGTATGTATTTATAAAAAAAAACCACCCACGTATGAATGGACATGCACAGTTCAGGCCCCCATTGTTCAAGGGTCAACTGTATATTCCTTCTCTTGTCACTAAGCACTGAATGTACACAACATAGTTTGTACTCCTCTCGAGCCAAAGGACCTCTGAATACCTGATTCACTCACACACCAACAGGAACCCCACTCACGTACCTTCACCCTTCCATCGTCTACCCTGACAAACATCCAACTCCCTAACTCTGCTCTGCTTACACCGAAACACGGCCAAGTGGCTGGCTGCCCCGCTGCAGAGCGCACGGACAGGACAGCTGGGGCGCACTGATCCCAGAGCCAGCGCTTTCTCTACAGAGGCCTAGATGCTATGGACTGCAGGCTCTCCAGGCCACACTCCCGCTCACGACTCAGGTCCGTCCTCTCGGCCTCAAAGCGGCCGCAGACGACATGTAAACCATACAGCATGGTGAGCTTCTAGTGAAATTCCACTCATGGACATTAAAATAAGAATTTCATGTAATTTTAACTTGTCATAAAATAATCATTCTTTTGATTTTTGTTCAACCATTTAAAAGCGTACAAATCATTCTTAGGTTATGGGCCGTACAAAAACCAGCAGCAGACTAGATCTGCGGAGTCACATGTAACCAGCAGATGATACTGCTAACTAGTCCTCTAGTTTTGTAAAACTATCTGTCCATGGGTTCCTCAAAGCTGTCTTTCCAGAAATTTTATGTACTACTCAATTCAAACAAATGACTTTTAAAAAGGTGCCAAGTCGGTTAAACTGCAGAATGTTAAGTACCAAGAAAAATATCTAGAGGGAAACTACAAGCCCCAAGAGCACGTGGAAAGAAACAAGACGGTCATCCCTATTCCACTTGGGTGTTTTCTGTTAAAAGTTCTGGTGTCCTACAATCAGGCAATGTGCTTACAACGAGGGAGGTGAAAATGGCCTTTACAAGTCTAAATCCCTCAAGCCACTTTTTCATTTTCACAGAGTCCCCTCTGTTCAATAAGCAGAGGGGACTTTCAAACGTGCTACAGAGGCTGAAAATCACCTGGGTTTCCACGTCAAGGACTAGAATAAAGGATCATTAAATGGAATTGTTCCTGAAACCTGAACCTTTAACAAAAGAGGCTCAGGTCTTTCAATCAATCCTTTTTCTGACTCATTCAAGCATGTTTCAATTTTGATGTTTTAAGAGCTGAAACAGTGATCCTGGTGAAAATGCACCACCAGTTTATTAAATCTTTAAACTTTTGTGTTCCAAGTTGAAATAGAAACTAAAGCTAAGCTCCCTCCCTTAGCTTTTTTTTTTTCCTCCCTTAGCTTCCTGACAGTCAGGGGCTGTGACTGTGAACTGGAAGGGGGCAGGACGGCTCCCCATCCCTGTGCTACACTGGGTCTGGAACAGTACTTTTTACTTTATTTTAGAGAGAGGAAGACAGAGAGTGTGTGTGAGCAGGGGGAGGGGCAGGAGAGACAGAATCCCAAGCAGACGCGCCACCCCCGCCCTCCACCGAGTGTGGAGCCCTTGTGGGGCTCGGAGCTCGATCTCATGGCCTGAGCCACAGTACTTTTTAAAGAGCCGAGCCTTCACCCTTCAGTCCGCAGACGCTCGCTTAGGGCGTGCGGGGCGTGGTGGCACCACACTCATCGCTGAGCTCAGGTACGGGGCTGGGACAAACGTCAGTCTCAACTGCAGTCTACACACACTAGTCCAAAGGGAAAGTTCTAAAGCATCTAGAAGAAATTATTCAAAAATACTCTCAAAACCTGTATTTTACATGAAAACTGGGGTAGTAATGGCAGCATACACATTATTTTTAGCCAAATCTTTTAAAAAAATGTATACTCTTGAATTTAGCATCTTCAGTGTGATGCACCTGGGTGAACGCAGACTATGTGTGAAATTCACCTCTGTCCATTTCGGAAGACGAGAACCTCGTGGATGCGCTGTGAGGTCGTTTCTAAAAGCT